GGCTTCTCCCCCAAAAAGAAAGAAAGAAAAAAGAAATAAAGAAACCAATTAGTCATCATACAGGCGCCCCCACCTTCTGAAAGTCGCTTCGTGTGTAGGAGACGGGAAGGGTCATTTTGGGCGCGGGTAAGGTCCGCCTGATTGATCCGGGATCCTGCCAGTTCACCCATTAGCACAGCCTCCTGTGAGATGAGCGCTCCTCTCACGGTGAGTTAACGCTGGATTAGATTCGGAGATTTCAAGGAAATTCCAAGTGGAACGAATCGCGTTTCCTTTCTGTTGGCTGTGGAGCCGGCGGAGGAGGCTTTGGCAACAACCAGTCTGGTGCCCAGCTCGGTCTCTGCAGGTTGCAGGTCAAGGAGTTACTCAGTGGCCAGGAGCCCTCTCCAACCTCTGTTAGCCCAGGATTCAGTTTCCCTAGCCGTGGGTCCCCCATTTAACAAAGGCGGCAGAGACCCGGCTGGAGAGAAGGCACGCTTCCGGGGGCGAGAATGTCCGCGGCTGCCAGGGAGTGCCGAGTGGCCTGGCAAGCAGGGGAAGGCTTGTCTAGGCAGCTGGGCTGGCTGCAGGCAGGTCAGTTTCTCTTTGTGTGAAAATTCAGAGTCGAAGGTAATCCTCCAAAGCGGTGGGTTTGGGCACAGAAGCCTCTTGTTCTGGTACCAGCCCAAACGATTCCTCACCATTTGGGGCCTGTGCTCAAACGGTTTCCAGTCTGTAGTGACCCTAGTGCTCTCTGCAGTCTTTTTCCTGCACATACTTGAGCCTGGCTCTGGAAAAGCTGTGATCTTACAGAAGGAGCCTGAAAACAAATGAGTTGGGAGCAATACTCTGAGAGGTGAGCAAGCCCTTGGCTCAGCCAAGAAGTAAATGGGGGACAAGATAGGGAGAGCTGCCCCCAGTGCTTCTCTCTTTGCTGGCTGGAATCCACAGGCCCCTGCTGCCTTCTTCTGCCCAGAGCTCGGCTGCTCTGAGGTCCTTCCCAGCCCTTGGGGAGATAGTATCAGACTAGGTGGTCTCCTGGCTGTGGATCAGCATGGAGAAAGCAGCTTCTTCCAGGTGCAGATTAGCCAACGGCTAATGTCTGCCTGTGCCTCCTTGCCCTGGCCTTTAGTCTGCCCCCTCCTCCCATTTTCAATCTCCCTGGCAGCACTGTGGGGGTTGGGCCCCAGCCAGCCTAGCTTCCAGAGCTGGTGCAAGCCCTTGGCTTTTTTGGAAGAACCTTTGATTCTGGCATCCAAAGCTGTTTGCTTGAACAATATAGGCCAGCTCTGGAGCCCAATTTGCAGGTGGTGGGGATGGGGGAGAAAAATTGATTCTAGGTGGTGGTTGTAATAAATAGGGGCGCAAAATYCCACTTCCTCATCTTCCTTGCTGGCCCTGGTTGATTTTTTCCTGCCCCAATTCTTCAACCACCACTTTTAAGCAAACAGCTTCTAAAAGGAGGGGCAGGCACTGCTAGGAAATAGGCTTCATAGTTCAAAAGTGTCCCACTCCCCATTTCAGGCTCATCATTCACATCAACACAATGGACTCMCCTCTAAGATATTTTCTTCCCCAAGCATCTTTACCAGTTATAAGGCACTTTTATAGCCAGTGTCCTTCCTGAGTATCACCCAAAACTTCAGTTAGATCCATGTTATAGAATATGACATTAAGGTAAGAAAGACGGAAAGACTAACAGAAGTTCACATGAGCAAAGCTGAAGTAGCTTCTTGGGTATCTTTGACAGAAGCATAAAGCTTTGAAGGGGACAGGGAGGGACTCAGATTCCAGATAGAGGCAGCAGACTGTGTGGGTGAATTTACATGTGCAAGACTCTCACTTTGTGTTGTTCAACCATATCTGTGTCCACAGCCTGACTGTTCATGTGTGTCACTGCCTATCTACCTGTTGGATAGTCCATTGGGGGGATTTCATGCCTAATCTTTCCATGTGCTCTTGTTCACATGTCTGTGTGCCCCTTCATTTTTCCTCTCTGGTATCTAGGAGAAATTTCAATGACCCTGTGTGTCCTGTAGTTCAATCCACAGCTGAATCAKCAAAGACCTTCCCAAGACCCTTTGGGGTGTGGTCAGGGCCTCCAGTGGGTTGTATGTCCTTATCAGAACCTGAGGAGCATCTATGGAAGCCAGTGCCTTCCAGACCAGAGCCACAAAGGCCCCAGGGGCATCTGTAATTCAACTTTTCTTTACCCACCCACCTCTAAACCCTGCTTACTCTGCCCTGTGGAGGCTGATCTGTTTCCCTTGTATCTGTGTCTGTTTCCCAGTCTTCACCTGATCTACTCGCACCTGTCTCTGTTGCAGTCCCTCTGTAAATTCTACTTCCCCTGGAAAGTGAAGATTTTCTTGGCCCAGCACCCTTCCAGGGGATAAGCCCTCAACTACCTAGAGTCCACAGAATTAGAAGCGGGGACTTGGGTTCTTCAAGGAGATGCTGTGCTTATTCGGGGGGCACCAGAAAATAAAAGTCTGACTCTATAGAAGTCTCCTGTTTTCCAGATGCTCTCTCCTTGCACTTCTCCATTTTCTCTTCTCTTTCCTTTCTTGGTCTGTTCTGGCTTTTCCATTCCTTTCTTTCCTCCTTTTCTGCCTGCCTGATCTGCTGCTTCCTTTTCAGATTCTCTCTCTGCTTGCTATCTCTCTCATTTAGTTATCACTCTGCTTCTTTCCTAAACACTTTCTTTTTTTCTCTTTTCTTTCCCTGTCCCCGATTTCTTCTCTCAGACTTCCCTTTTTTTCCAGTCTCAGGATAAATGGCTTTCTTCAGGCCACAGCTATGAATTTTTTTTCACTGCAATCCTTGAAGAACTCTGTTGGGTAAAACTGAGGCAAGAGGTCCAAGTGGGTTTGGGGCATTTTCAGGTTGCTGAGGGATGTCAAAGTCTCTAGGTCTCTCTGGGTCTAGTGCCAGCTGTGGAGATGTGCATCAGATTCTGCAAGATCCTTAGCAGCTTTGCCTTTGTGGTCAAGGGTAAAGAGTATGGGTATTTGCTCTGTCCAAAACCAGATTATACACTCATTGGTGCTTTTGTCTTTGTATTGTTTTTTCATAATATAATACAACCCTCCAAACTCACAAATGACTACTCTTGGCATTAAAGTCCTTTGAAGGTGGCTGCTGTGTTTGGAGCAAAAAGTCTCAACTGSTTAGTACTGTAGCAAACAGGCTTTTGCAGATGGGCCACGAGGCCTAGACTTCCAGGTCCTTCCAAAAGTGTGCTGGTGTTTTTAGCTTCCTCGCCCCCCCCTCCCCCCGTAGTCCATTGACCTCTCAGAGCTCATACCAATTTTGAATTTACTTTCTTTTACTTAAATTCATCCTGTCTTGAAAGATATATATATAATCCATTTTTCTTAGATGCTCCCAGCCCCAGAAMCAAGCGTTCCTAAGGCTGTTGGCCAGGGTGACTTCAGTCTTTCTGTTTAGGTAAACTGTACAATTGTGTTCCTACCTTCAAAATCCCGTTAGAGATGTTTTCCCTTTTATCTTATATCTGGAATGTTTCAGAACAATTAACATTGATTAAAGCTCATTTTGAAAATTCAGAAAAATTCAGCATAAAACTGGAACTAAGTACTGCAATTATCTATAAGATCATCTTTTTCTTTGAAATAAGCCTGGACTTGGTCATTTTAGGAAATATTGATGGGAAACTTCAGTGGATTGCTTGGATAGTTTTAAGGATATAGGCTATATTAAGAGTGTTTTTTGTCCCCTCCATTGCAAATATTATTCATGAACCTAGGTAGTAGATGAAAATTGGGGAAAATAACTGAGATGAGGTAGCTATTTTATAGAGTTTTAGATTTGGAGAATGTATATGTATGTGACCTTAGAGGTGTCTTGGCTTCCCTTGTACAGTCCAGTCCCAGCCCAGCCAGTACCAGTTAAGGAGGTTCCCCTGCCTTTGCCTCTGAGCTGCCAAGCAACAGTATACTTCTGGGCTTGGCTCTTCGCCCCAAACCTCAGCAATGTCAGTTAGTGGCTGATTAACAGCTACAAGGTCAATGATGTTGCTACATTGGATTGCTCTGTGTTTACTGGGTTAGCTCTTCAATTTACTTAGGTACTCCAGAAGGACCTTGATGTAAGAGAAGGGAGCATATGGATAGCACTCCCCAACTCCTTTTACTTCAAATCCACCTCAGACCTCTTATAAATCCTGGGACTCAGAAGCTTTCTTTGGCTTCTTTATTTCCCCCTAACCAACTTAAAGCTGCTTGTCAATTGCAAACATATTCCAAAAATTCCAGGGAAATGCTTTTATAACAAATTGTGATACAGTGAAGTGGAATGTGCTGTGTATAGAAGATCCTATGACCCATTTCTTTTGTGTGCTCTGAGARGGTGTAGTGGTCAAGTCCACATGACAGGCTTACCTTTACAGAAGGATTTAAAATGAAAAAAAATTTTTTTTTTATGAAGGCAGTGGTTGGGTTTTATCTCAGTACTCTAAAATGTATGTGTATATGTGTGTGTATATAKATATAATGTCCTTAGCCCTTAAATTAGATGGCTGATTTAAAAACATTTTTTCCCTGAGATGTAGGTTTGTTGGAGTAGTCCTTTTTCACTTTTAAAGACATTCGTTAGAAGGAAAAGAGTTCTGTTGTTTTTTCTTTCCTCTTTAAAAATTGATGTATTTTAAAGCATAATTTTCTCCCCAGTGTCTTCCTTAGACCTAAGTATCATGTAATAAGTTGTGCCCCTATTGTTAGTATAGATTAAATATTTTTCAAAGTCCATTGTTTTAAAATTGCAAGGGAAATGCTAATAACTAAAGGAAACAGTATGGCAATCCTGACTGTCATTGGCCCAAATGACTGCTTGAAGATGGACAAAGGCTAAGCTTAATTTTAAAAAGCAACCCAGTGTGGTCTGTGGGATTGGACTCCAGGAGCAAGACATCCAGTCTCTGGGTGCTCACAATGGTGCTTCTACTATGTGACTGGTTCTAACCACCCTTCCCCTTGCCTTTTGTTTCTGATCTGTTTCAGGACATGGAGGAGTGAATCAGCTTGGGGGGGTTTTTGTGAACGGACGGCCACTTCCAGACGTAGTCCGCCAAAGGATAGTGGAACTTGCTCATCAAGGTGTCAGGCCCTGCGACATCTCCAGGCAGCTTCGGGTCAGCCATGGTTGTGTCAGCAAAATTCTTGGCAGGTAAAGGCAGGAGCTCCAGACTTCCATGAACTTTCAAATAAAGATCTTAAAGATGACCCAGCAGCTGTCTAATGTACCAGTGTCATAGTGAGGACCATAGTGGCATTTCACTTTACATGCACAGCACTTTAGAGTTTGCAAAGCTCTTCTGAGGCCATCCAACTCAGAGTGACCCTGGGTAACTCCATCTCAAGTGATAAGTGGAATAGGAAGATTTAGGAGGGACATGTTTCTAGAAAGCCTGATGAATTATCCTAAAGAACCCAGGAGTAAGAGGTTCTTAGGAAATTCCCCTATCCACTTAGGTGAGTTCACGGCCCTGGGCAGAGCTGGGTAGAGACTCTGTAAGGTATAATATAATACACCAGAGTTTAATCAACCTACCTTCCTTCCTTCCTTCCTTTCTTCTTTTTTTTTTTTTTTTTTTTTTTTTGTGTGTGTGTGTATGTGTGTGTTGAACCCAAGGCCTTGCAAATGCTAAGCAGGTGTTCTACCACTGAGCTATATGCCTAGCCCTCAGTGTTTCATTTTAATATTTTCAAAAAGCATATCCACTTTTAAAAGTTAGCCATCATTTTCAGTTTGGGTTATCATCAACCGCATTATGTTGGTCTGCTGTATTTTCCTTCTATGTGTTGTGTTTCCTTCGTAGTGACAGGCATCCTAAGTATATATTAAATGGGGGTGGGGGATAGACAGCAAAAGCTGACTCTCAAATCTGACATTTGAAAGTTGCCACTTGACCCGGCGATTTGCTGCAAGCAAAATACTAACAATGACGATTCTCCCAGAGGGCTGTATAGCCTTTTAGCGCTCCCGTTTATTTTCTCAGTAGCCTCAGCATGATCCAGTGAAGCATATTTTAAGACCAGGAAACAAACCTAGTGAGGCAAAGTGACTAACCCAGGTTTATACATCCAGTTAGCACTTGGGTTGGGATGGAGTCTAAAGGACTCCTGGGCCACCTGTGTCTCCCCACACCCGCAAACAAAGCTGTAGGCTTGTTTCTGGGCATGTGGTGGTGTTATAGGTCTTTCCTGGCAGGCAGGAACGTTCTTGGGTTTAGCCATTCACTGCTTTCCATTTCTTTCCCGTTGTCAGAAAACAACCTTTGTCTTGTAGCCTACATTATGGTTTGAGAACAGATGCCTGAATAAAAAATAAATATTCTGAAGTATGTYAGTGACATCATGACTTTCTGCTTGCTCTTTTTCTTCCGTCTGCTGGAATTCAAGAAATTTCTCAGCTGGAGGAAGCAACTGTATCAAATAGCCTTGCAGTTTTGCTTGAGGCTAGAGGAAGATATTTCAGGGCCAAGGGCCTGGCAGCTCCTTTAGAGTCCTGGATTCCTGTATTTATGTCTCATCTACCTGCCCAGAGCAGGTACCTCGGCTATGGAGGCTGGRGGCTCCTCCACTCCCATTTAGTGATCTGCAAGTAAATGAGTCTCTGCCAGAGTTCAGAGAAGATTTCAGGAAATCAGTCATGTATTCTTGTTAGAGGGTRGTTTTAGACAGGAAGGTGAGAGTGAGAGTAGCAGAAGAAAGTACCACSGAGGGAAGGAAAAGAGAAAGAGAAAAAGGGAACAAAGAGGAAAGAGAATGGGTTTTAAAAGAGAAATAGAAAGAAACAACAAGACAGAAGGGGAGAGAAAAAGAAAGAGGAGAAATATTTTAGACCGTCTCAGAATTGGACTTTTAGAGTTGAATGAGTCTCAGATATCTTCTTGCGAAGCTTCTTTGTACCGAGGGAGAGGGAGAGAGAAAGAAGGCCCTTCCTTTGTTTTTGCTGAGACATCCTTGCTGAGCCGACATTTTGCTTGCTGTTTGAAATCTTTAAGATACTGAGCCTTTTCTCAGAGCAGACGTCCAAATGCAATGCTGGATCCTCATGTTGTGCTGCCCTAGAGCCCTCCAAATCTCCCATGGAGACTAAGGCAGACAGGGATCCTTCCAAACCCAGCCGGCAGCCTCCCTCCGTCTGGAATAGATTTGTCACTAGGTAGAGTGGCAGTAGGAAGTTACGCGTCGCTCTGGTGCCTGGCCGTTTAAGTTGTCAACAATAAATTGGAATTTCATAGCTCATTATTTTCATAACTAAGAACCACAGTGGACAAAATGTCACTGTAATTAGAACTGCCTTTTAAGAAACAAGTTCAGCCCTAAAACAGTGTGACTGGGAATTTCTGAACTGGGGTTGTTCAATTGACAGTTTTTTTTTTCTTTCCTTTTTTTTTGGGGGGGGGTGGTCACTGAAAAGCTGGACAGGCACTACGAGGTGAAGGTTGTAGAGAGCGTCTGGTGTGTGGTAGCTGTGCTCTTCAGAGGTTGCATGGAAAAGKAGGCAAAGTAACTGGGGCAGGCAGAGACCCCTTTCCCCCCAGGAAGGCGGGCAGTCTTCCAGAGTGTGGGCGGTCAGTCTAGATCTCAAGATTGCTAAAGGCTGGAGAGGCACAGCCCAGTGGCATGTGAGGCCAAGTTTAAATCTACCCTGAGCTCAGCTGTTGTCCTTTCCCACTGGAGCTTGGTTGGGAGGTTCAGGCTATTTGGAATCAGGTGATGTGTTGTTATACAGCAAAAAATAAACATTTCATACAGGACTTTAATCCTCAGCCCACGTTTTTTATTTTATTTTGCAAAGATGTCTTGTAACCATTCTGTATTTCTATTTTCACAACAACCCTGCAAGTAGGGTAAACATCCTCGTCTATTTTATAAAAGGGATAACTGAAGCCTAGAGAGGCTAAGTGAGTTGGCCAAGATCACACAGCGAGTTAGTGTCAGAGCAGCTGACAGGCACCTACACCTCTTGACTCCCAGACTAACACTCTCTGCAYGGAAGGACACTTGTGTGTTGGTGACTGCCGTTCATCTTTTGTCTGTAAGCCAAAGGGCTGCACGGCTGTTTTGCTGAGATGAAAGGATGGTTATTAAGTCTGAATCCTCACTTGACACAGTTGCGAGTTGGGGTTTCAACAATGTCMGTGTTGCCTTCTAAGTGCCTGGCCCATGTGTCAGTCAAAAGGAAGACAGAGACCTCTTGTGTCAAGACCATAGCCTCCCACAGTTGGCACCGCTCAGGTGGGATGGCAGCGGAGTCCTGAGTGCTGCCACCCACCAGCCAAGTAAGTGGGGGACTTTATCCTGCTGCCTTCTGAGTTGCTATGTGAATGGTGTAGACCCATTCAACTAACATATTTTGAAGAGGCAGCACAGGGTTGGTAACCCTTGCCCTGAGACCATCCCTGTCCTAACAGGCGCTAGACAAGCAGCGAGTGAATGAAAGATGTGGGTGAAAATGCTTGGTATATAGTAAAGCTGTCTACAATTGCAAAGAATCATTGTTAYTATTATTTTAAAAATTTTTAACAAAAGCAGTAATTTGCTCTAGCAGAAGAGCACTGGATTCAAAGTAAGGTTTGAAGGCTGCAGCTGCCTCCAACTTCCAGATGGATTTGGGCTCGTTGCTTATCTTCTGATCATTTATTTTCCCTTCTTTAAACCCCGCTGGCCTCAAAGATTGGCGTGATAATTTGAAGAAGAGCCCTGTAAACTTTAGAGTGTTGTGCCTAAATAACAAGTGTCATAAGTAAAAATTCACTTTTTATGGTAAAATTGAGGGGACAATTGGACATTGTAGGGTTGTTATGTGCCTAGATTTAGGTACTTTCCTAGACTCGTGGAAAAAAAAAAACTAAGATTTTTAAAAACGCTGTTGTGAATAATAAAAATATTTTAGCAAATTATGTAGAAAATTGATTTCAGCAATTTCTCAGAAAGAGGGAGGATAGGTTGAGTTTTTTTCTTATGGTCAAAATTTGTAAATAACTCTTCTCAGTGAAAAATAGACTTTGCACTTCTACATTATTGCTCTCAAATTATTTCTTCTAATCTAGAATTATTCACTAACTTAGCCCTAAACAGACTTACCCGGCTGAGAATGTCAGCATCTCTATAAACGTGGCCTTTGTTCCTGGATAACACTTTTACCTATCCCAGAATCATCTGGTTCCCTTACCTCTTATAAACTCTGGTTAGTTTTAAAAATTAGTAGTTGTTTCTAAAATGTCTTTTGGTTAAAAAAAAAAAATTCAACTGCAAGGTAATCTCCTTCAGAAGAGGAAGTCAAAAATTCCTCTGTAAATATTGAGAGAGACATCCAGTGACGGCTCAGATTCAGAAAAAGAATCAAGTCATTTTTTCCCTGAAATGATCTTTCATGGCACTCTTCTCCCTGGTCTCGGTTTTACTGTAAAACCCTGACATCCTATTTGCGTTAACGAGGAAAAGCTGATAGCATGGAAATGTCCTTAGAAACAGCCATTTACCTCAGCGGAGGCCCCTAGAAGAGCTGCCGAGACTCGTGGTTGGTTTTTCTGATTGCTTGGGTTTTGATTTCCAACACACATTTCCAGTTAATTCTGGAATCCAAAACTCCTTTTAATTTTACACCAGGGCTATTGTTTTTCTCTTATGGAAAAATAAGTTGCATTTTAGGGGACAGTTTTACAGCATGCTGGAGATTCTGCTGGTGGATGGGAGAAATGGAAAATCAAAGGTATAAACCACTTTTCTGGGAAAATTTTTAGCTCAAGAGGCTTGGCCACTTGATCTTCAGTGGCCCCAAGGAAGCCATTTAAATTCTTTGAATTTCCATTTTATACCATAGAGGGCACCTTTTCATTCATTTATTCATTTACTCATTCATTCATTCAAAATGAATGATGTGCTTAGAACTGTGGAGAATCAATTGGGAAAACTGACTTGAAAGAATTTTTGAAAACTGTAAATTGAAAGATGAATGCCAAATCATTTTGTTAATCTTTAGCATCCTGCTAGCGCTGTCTAATAGAATATCATGTGAGAAAGTTAAAAGTTTTAAATTGCAATTTAAAATTTTTCTAACAGCACATTAAGAGAAGTAAAAAGAAATCAGTATAACTAATTTTATTAAATATTTTATTTATGCTAACATTAAAATTATCACTTCAACATATAACCAATATAAACGTTACTAGTAAGATAGTTTGCATTTTTTTGGCACTAAATTTTAAAAAATCTGATTTGTAGTTTACATTCACAGCACATCTGGGTTCAGAACATTTCCAATGTTCATCCAGTTTACTGGTTCCTCATGACTAAGCTCCTTTCTCCTTGGGTCCTAGGTATTATGAGACAGGAAGCATCAAGCCTGGGGTGATTGGAGGATCCAAACCAAAGGTTGCCACGCCCAAAGTGGTAGAAAAAATCGCTGAGTACAAACGCCAAAATCCCACCATGTTTGCCTGGGAGATCAGGGACCGGCTGCTGGCGGAGCGAGTGTGTGACAATGACACGGTGCCCAGTGTCAGTTCCATCAACAGGTGAGGGGTCTGCTGCTGCTGGGGGCTGGGATCTGGATGCATGGGTCCTGGAGTTTCGATGTATATCTTCTCTGAAGATCTTGTCTCTCTTTTTATCAAGGACCCTTAGGGGTTAGTGGACAAGAGGTCCAAGTTGGGGGCTGCTGGTCTTTGTTCCTTCTCTTCAAAGTCGACAGGAATGCTTGGCCAATAGCTTGACTGCTTGAGAATTTTCTGAGTCCAGAGTAACTTTTATCATTCTCTTTATCATTTATCTGTGTGGAGTACTTTGCGGTGAATTGTCCTGATGAGGGCTCCACAAGTGTCCCTGTCTTTGCCAGCGAAGGCCCAAGGTCTTTGCACTTGTCCATCTCGGAGGTTCCCAGAAAGAAAATCCTGCCTWCGGTAAGGCAGAGGTTGGGCAAGTGAGTATGGGAAGCAGGGCTCTCAATTGGAGTTGGGAGACTTGGTTTGTCATTGCTTCTCTGCCAGCAACTCAAGTGGGATCTCAACAGACTCTTGCTCTCTCTGGAGCCCAGGGCCCTCGTGGCTCTGAGGTGTGTCTTTCATCTGCAAGGATGAGGTCCAGGGTTGCTAGGATGCTCTGGTGTGAGAGGACTGCCCTCTCCTAAACTCCCCCATCTCTCACCCGTGGAGACAGGGAACCACACACCAAGGTGCCAGACCCAACATTGTCCTGGGAACCACAATGGCTCCCTCACTTCCCTAGGCTGATCCAAACAATGTTGAATGATGCTGTCGGAACACCAATTAAGAATAAAATTGCTTATTTATTTTGCATTTCTGGGAATCCAACCTGAGGCCTCATGCATACTAGGAAGATGCTCCATTCTTGAGCTATATCCCCAGCCYTAGAAATTAATTTCTGGATGAAAGTCTTCTATCATAGAGGGTGCAGTCTCAACTCCATATGAACCAATAGCATTAGGGATGAAGTTGTGAGGGAAACATAAATGATTGTTCTCTAAGCTCCATGAAGAAAAAGGAAACCAGCAGACCAAACTTGAACAGTTTTCATTTCTCCAAGATCAGACTGTCTGGACATAGAGGACCCCCTCAYCCCTGGCAGAAAGAGGTGGACTGGAATATCTCTCGAGGTCCCCTCTGCTCCTGACAGCCATTCCTCTGTGATGACTCAAATGCACAGAATCACTGTGTTGACATTTCAAGTCCCACTGGTTCATAAACTCTTAGCCTCTTTTCCTTCTCTCTGCAAACCTTTGCCAAGACCCTGACATCCTGTATGGTGCGGAGAGAGGGGGGAGTGGGGCACTTAGCTTCTCCGTCTCTRTTCTAGAAGGCCACCTCCTCCAGGCCAGAGTTCTGATGTCCTCTCACAAGTCTGGATGGCCTAGACAAAGTCACTGTGGAAGTAGCAGTGACTGGGCAGGTTGTGGGTGGGGAGAACGCCTGTTCTTCTCCTGTATCATGAGGGACTCCAATGTGTTTTGTGAGTTCCTTACTTCTGGCTGGTTGCAGGATTTCCATGATACAGAAAGCATCATGACTTTTATTCTGGGCCTCCAAAAGCAGAGATGTGGTGGCACATGCACATAAAGCAATGTTGGAGCAGGTGGCCTGCTCTGGAGAGGGACATGAGCCACATCCGTGATCAGGTTCCGGAGGCCACAGGTTTCTCAGCGCAGGGTATACATATAATTAGGTGGTTCATGAGATGACTTTAGGTGGACCATGGGGGTCACAAACTCTAATGCTTTATGTGGGGTCAGGCAGATAGTGTATCTAGGAAAGCAGGTCAGGCAGCAGGCTGTAGGGAGTGGTAGGACCTGTGTCAATCAAGATAGCTCAAGCCTTATTAGAGGGGCAGTTGCTTCTCAGCTCCAGATAAATTCTGCCGGAAATGTTTGCCAGATTTTTTCCATTCTTCAAGAAAAGTCAGAAACTAGGACCTGTGTGTATTTGTGTCCATGTATGTATTCCTGTGTGTGAAATCTATGTTTTTAAACAGTAGCAACTCATTTCAAGCATAACCCACTTACAAGGCTCTGGTTTAGATCCTCTGTAATGGAAGGATAAAAACTGACTTGTGCCTGGCGCAGTGGCACACGCCTRTAATCCCAGTAGCTCGAGAGGCTGAGACAGGAGGATGGCAAGTTCAAAGCCAGCCTCAGCCATGGTGAGGTGCTTAGCAACTCAGTCAGACCCTGTCTAAATGAAATACAAAATAGGGCTGGGGATGTGGCTCAGTGGTTGAGTGCCCCTGAGTTCAATCCCCAGTACCAGAAAAAAAAAACAAAAACTTGACTTGTGATTAATTTATCTTCATGTATTTTAGAAAAATAAACTGGCCTACCAAACCAGTGATCTTGTGAACTTTGAACTTTTTCCCACCAATGGATGTATTAAAGTTAAGTTAAAAAATAAGTTATTTGAAAGAAACTTATAGAGCAAAGAGAGCAATGGTTTCAGATGTGGCAGAGGAAAGGGGGAACTATCAGCTGATGCTTTGTGTCTGGAGCTGGGCTAGAAGAGATCTAATCTGGTTGCTGAAGCCATGCCAAACCTTAGGGGCCTCCTGGAATTCTGGTCCATAGCTTTTTGGCCAGCTGGTGGTGCCTCTACGCTGCTGTTACATCTGCAGCAGGTAGAGAAACTGAGTCCTAGGTGTGGGTGGCAGGGAAAGGTGACCCTGAGATAGAGATGGATAGTAAAAGGAGGGCAGGTCTCTTTCTGTTACTGTCCTGTAGGATTCTGCAAGTGACAGAACTGAGGATCCATAAGAAAAGAGGCAAGGAGGGGTAACAGTCACTCCTACTCCATTTCTAGCCTTGCAGCCAGCTGTTTGGCTGACTGTCTTCCAGATCCCTCCATTCATAACCTTTTCTGATACTCCCTTCGGGGAGCATTCTGGGTCCTCACTGCACTCTTTAGCGGGAACTCATTAAGTGTGGGACAATCTCATGCTGAAGTACCCCACTCTTCCCTCACAGGAAAACCTGGCGGCACCATCAGTTTTATTTTCCATATGAAGGAAAACTCCCTTTACATTCAAATGGGTGTAACTTCTAAATATCTGCTTCACAAATGTCACATGTCACCCTATAAGAGGGTCCCCAGTTCTCTCACTGTCCCTGCCTCCCTGGGGGCAACTTCTCACCATTGTCTCTTTCAAGTGTCTGTGGAGACAGTGGTGGCTTCATTTATAGCTACTTTGGTGGCCAGAGAGTCCTCTCCACTGTTCACCCATTGTCTTCGGGACCAACTCCAGGAAACGTGACTGACATGGGGTTTGGCAATGCTGAACAAATTCTGCTAGGCTTCTGGGAAATTTCCAGGGACACAAATCACCTTGTTCATTTGACTTCTTATGGATCATTGTGTGCTGGGATCATTGTGCCTGCCTGGGGATTCTTGGAATCCAGCCTGAGTTCATCTGAAGGTGGCTGTCCCAGAGCTGACCCAAATAGTGGGTGGAATGGGGTCTTCCTTCTTCTGTTTCAATCCTGTGGCTCTAAATCAGAGGCCAAGTAGTGGGGACAACTAGTGACATTCCCAGTTAAGAGGGATAACCCATGTGAGAATGGGGGAGGTTCCCATTGCTGGGTGTTCTAATTTTTCAAGAGAAACTTGAAATCAGGGATTTATGGCAAAGCTCAGAACTCAGTCGTATCAGCAACTAATTAAAATAAAAACAAAAATACCATGTAAGGGGCGGAGGCAGCCCGGGGTGACATTTGGTTCATTCCACTTTTCATCCTACCCGTGGCAACAAGTCTTCTGAGATTGCTCTCCCAGTGTCCCTTTCTTCTTCACATCAGCTGCAGGCAAAGGTGCCACCAATGGGCCCCTTCCCGCTTGGCCAGCTGGACTGAGGTTTCCGGTTGCTCTACACAGCTGATGGCCCATGCTTCTTTCTGCACTGATGACAGTTCCATTAGGGCCATGGATGGGGGTGTTTCTGCAGCCCCATCTCCTTTTCAAGGCACCTTGATTTTTTTTCAGTGTAATTTTGTAAGCTTTTCAAAGTAAGGGGACCGATGTAGAAAGGGGATCCTAAAGTGCCTATAAGATGTAAGCTCTCTTGAAGTTTTAGTCTTCAAATTCTAAATCGATTTTGAATTCAAATAGGCTTTATGCCTCATATGGGAGGTATTTGACAGTAGGACTACTTCCGTCAACTGTGGCCTGAGGGATGGAAGCCTGAGCTGACTTACTGTGTGACACTGGGCAAGTCACTTGGGCACTCTGGACTTTAGTTTCTTCATCTAGGAAGAGATTGATTGCTGAGCTGTCTTCTCTGTTGGACCAAAGGACATTCCTGTGGATCCAGGGTCACAGTCACACAGTCAAATGCTCTGCAGCAGCATAAGGATATGCTCTCCTTTTTAACCAAGGGCCTTGTGCATGCTAGGCAAGTTCTCTGCCACTGAGTCACACCCCAGTCCAAGGATATTCCTTTTAGTGTTGGCTGCCAATTAGTCCCAACTGTCTTGGGTTCAGAAAAAGTCCTAGTGAACTCCCATTGGGACAGGTCTTGATGACAGCATATAATTTTAAAAATTTTAATGATTTTTAGAATAGCTTGGATACATTTGGTATTTTTCTTCCCACTATCATTTCTTTCCAAGGGAAGAGGACGATCTTCACTTTTTCTTGGTGGCTGCTACAAGCAGATGGGCAAAATCTCTCATSCCTGGGAGCAGCTTTGGAGAGTGTCCTGTAATTGTAGAATTCCTTATAAAGCACCATTACAGCCTTAAAAATARTATAGAAAGGCTCTTCTCCCTGCTCCTTCTCAAGGGGACCCCATGTGCTTTTTAAGGCAAGTGTGAAACATGAACATTTTTAAGGTTAAACCTTCTCTTTAATCTTCATGAAGACACCTCTGAGAATAATAACCCCTAATGTTTATTGAGCATTTGCTATGGAGCAGCCACTTCTAAGTAGTTAATTAATTCAATCCTAACCCTAACCCTAGGAGGTAGGAATGATTCTTAGTCCCATTTTGCAGATGAAGAAACTGAGGCATAGAAGTGAAATAATTTACCTAAAGTCATGTGGCTGGTAAATTGCAAGGCTGGGATTCAAACTCTAGTAATTTGGTTCTGGAGCTGGATACTTGATCACTATGCTGCAGCTGCCTATCAACAATTTATGAAAATTGATGAGGCATTACCCGTGATCAAGAACTATTTGAAAAGAAAAAGGAGGAAAAATGTGATTTTTCTTTATTTTACTTATGTGCAATTAGTTATGAAGTATTTTACCACATATTTACTATGTAGATGATTATATTCATATCTGGTGTATCCACATATTCACCAGTATAGCTGTATCTCTGTAGAAACATACACACAGAGAAGGTGACATACACAAAAATGTAAAAATTAGATCAGATGCCAGCATAATTCCAGGTGGTCAAAAAGACTGCCTTCCTCCCCGGTCTTTGTACCAGTCACTCTGTTTGCTTAGAGTAAGTGATTTGAATATTGTAGAAAAATAAATAAATAAGCACACACTCTGAATATATTTGAGGCAGAGCTTAAGCTGACCCATCAAAAAAGGCAGAGGGAACCGTGGTGCATGCCTGAGATGCCAGCTGCTCAGGAGGCTGAGGTAGGAGGACCACAAGTTCAAGGGATAGCCTGGGTAACTTAGTGAGACTCTATCTCCAAATAAAATAAAAGGGAATGGGTGGGTAGCTTAGTGGTAGAGTGCTTGCCTACCATATGCAAGGCCTTTGGTTCCATCCATCCCTGGTGCCTACAAAAAATAATTAAAAAAAAATAAAGCCCAGAAGGCTCTTTGTTGTACTCTCGTGGCCAGGGTGGCAGAGGACCTGAGGCTAGGCTGTAGGCTGTAGGGTGAATGGAAAAGTCCAGTCTAGGTTGCCACCTGAAGATGTGCATACCCTGGTGACCCCGGAAGGCAGAGCCTACTACTGTGTGTGTGTGTGTGGGGGGGGTTGGCTAAGGAGAGACAGGGGAGGCACCTGCTGTTCTTCAGTCCTTCACTTACATAAGCTGGGGACCCAGCGCAGCATTGAAATGAATCCAGATATAATGGTCAGGCATGTGGGAGAACTTCTCATAGAATGTGGCTTAAAAAGAACAGGATATAAAACTGTGTATGTATGTGGTTTAAACCTGATAAAGATAAAATGGTTATTTTTAAATATGCACAGAAAAGTCGTAATAAAGGAAATACACCGAAATGTGATTTGGGATGTCTTCTTTACACTTTTCCAAGCTGATCAAATAGTCTACAATGAACACATATTATTTCTTTTATAATAAGGCAAACCTCTAATAAATGTCCTTTTTAAAGGGAATAGTTTACAGGGTGTGATAGTACATGTCTAGAATCCCAGCTACTCAGGAGGCCGAGGCAGGAGGATCACGTTGAAAAAAAAAAAAAAAAAAAAAAAGACAGGAATAGCTTGAGGTGGAAATAGAACTTTTCCCAAGAAGTTGAACATTTTATTATGGTGCACCTTTCTGCCAAATGCCAGGAAGAAAGTTTCTTATAGATCCCAAAGGGACTTCTTGTTTGGCTCTGTTCTGTGCTCAAAGATGTTTTGGGCTTGTTTATCTTCTGGGGGTCCTATGTGTTGTCCCAGTTGGAGGCTTGTCATCTAGGCTCCCTGGAGCCCAAGGTTCTGTAGAAGAACATCAGAACTTCCAGGGGGCAAAGGGCAGTCAGTATTGCTTTTATACACTGGGTTTTGGGTAAATTTTATTTTACGTTTCTTTCCAAAAAAGATTTGACTACTTAAAATAAGCAAAGAATGGTCTGTTCCAATTCCTTCATCATTTTGAGACTCAAGATGGAATGGACTTGATCAAGGTCACCATCAAGTTCATATAAGAACTAGAGCAAGCTCTCTGGAAAGACAGGGCAGGACGCCCCTGACTCCCAGCCCTGTGGATCCTTTCAATGAGGCTTTGTACCAGGCTGCTTTCCTTGTAGCAAAACTAAACTCAAGTGCTGTCTCTTGGTAGCACTTTAACCTTCTTTCATTTCTGAGCAACACATATGTCTCCTCCCTTGGAAGTTTCCAGTTGGTAGGGGTATTAATCTTGCTTATGGGCTCTCTAGGGCAGAGAAACCAGCCAAGAGAGTTCCTTGAGGACAGTGAGGCTGCGTGGTTTGGTTCCTTCATTCCCTGGATAGAAGGCTGAGGTCCAGGGGATGAAAAAAACTCCCTAAAGTCATTCAGGGAGTCCCTTATGGGGCTGGAGCAGGAGAGAGGAATGCCTACCTGTAATGTGAACACAGTGTCCCCATTCTTCAGAAGAAGTACTCAGGGCTCAGAGAGTGGGTGCAGGTTATCTAAAGACAACCAGTAATATAGGAGCTGATAGGCATAGTCCATAATTCTTCCAACCTGGGTTCTTAATCTCCCCCCACCTCTGTCCCTGTGTCCCAGTTTGAGTCTGGGTTTTATGTTTGTCTGTGTATAGATGGTTGAAGCCTTTTCCCTTCCTGATGGTAAATAGCCATTTGTTTTTTCCCAACTGCCACAGGATCATCCGGACAAAAGTTCAGCAGCCCCCCAACCAGCCTGTCCCGGCTTCCAGTCACAGCATAGGTAAGAACTTTAAAAAAAAAWTTTTTTTTTTGAAAATCTAATGGGCTCCAAATATTCTAAAGAACTTTTAATCATTCTTATGGACAGATAATTCTGCATAAAACACTTCGGCACACGTACTAATGCGCCTTCTTTGTCATTCTCCAAGGGCTGAACCTGGTAAATGAATTTTATAAATACTGCTAAAAGGTTTTGAATTTTACTGATTATTATGATAAATAGCTTTCACCATGAGACAGAAAATTGAAATCTAAGCCAAAAAAAAAAAATCCACTAATGGGGGTCTATAGAATGTCAGATAATTAAAGTAATAAATCAAGAAAGGGATACTTATTCATAACATTTTCTGCATCATTAGTCAGTAAGTAGTTTTGAATGTGTTTTTTTCTTCTATCAACCAGCCCTTCTACAATTCTTTGTGCACTTGCAGTCTTGAGTGAAGATGTAGCAAAACTTCCCAAACTTTCTTTCTCTCGCTCTTGCTCTTGCTTCAATCTCATGTACTCTGTGAACTCTCCAGGCCTGTGGGTGGGGCTTCGGGTGCTCACGGGTGAAGTCTGAGAGTAACCATGACCTTCTGAGGGCAGAGTTCTATTCCTACTACTCAAGAGTTCACACATTCCCTGGCTTTTGATTCACGGACAAGTTGAAAATGACTTGTCCCTTTAAGGTATTATTTCTCCACTCGGGACAAAAGAAACACCTCTCTCTAGCTGGAGGAAAGTTGGTGACCACCCAGCAAGCCCTGAGAGTTCACAGTCCCTGTGAGTTCTGCGCAGTCACATCCAAACTGAGCAACCCTTCTATGCCCTCATCACTGTCAGTCCTTCTTTACCTGAAAACCTGGACTTCCCCGTGGCGATGGGGAACCACAGAGTCCTGGCTTATAGTTCCAATTCTGTCATTAACTCACCCAGTGAGCTGTGAAAGTCCCTTCACCTCTCTGAGCCTCAGTTTCCTCACTGGAGGACATAAACCAGTTGTTCTCCAAGGTCTCCAATCCTCCTAGGTTGTCTCTTAGGATAAAGGTAAGAAAGAATTCCTCCTTGCCTTGAGATAATTCTTCTCTTAGTAATACCTCCAGAAAGTGTTTGTCACCATTAATGCTACACTTGAGGCAGGATAAAACCCCCTATTTTTGAGGGCTTCTCAATGGGAGAATGTAATGGAGAGAAGTTTGCAAAACACTGAGATGAAGCCCAATAAAAAGGTATGGGTGTCAGGAGAGCAGGGAACTGCCAACTCTGCTGGGCTGTTCTGAGAGGGTTGAGGGCGGCTTCTGGGGTAGAGGCAAGTTGGTGGCTGAGATTTCTCTTGTGGCTGGGGGTGATGGCACATGCTTATAATCCCACTGGCTCGGGAAGCTGAGGCGGAGGATCATGAGTTCAAAGTCAGCCTCAGCAACTTAGAGAGTCCCGAAGCAACTCAGAGAGACCTTGTCTCCAGATAAAATATTTTTAAAAAGGCTGGGGATGTGGCTCAGTGATTAAGCATCCCTGGGTTCAATCCTCAGTACCACAAAAATCAAAAAACAAGAAAAGGTTTCACTTGTGGCTTTAACCGTTTCAGGTTGCGAAGCAATGCAAATCAAACAAGTTGTGACTGATAATATTCTTTTAATAGGTTTAGAGGAATAATTTTGCTGTAGGTCAGCAGAATGGTTTGTCCCAGACATTTTTATAAAACTGCATCTCATGTGCATACAGCCCTTTATGGTTTAGAAAGTTACTGAGCAGGGAGGAAACCGAAGCTTAGAGAGATTGAATAATTAGCCAGAGATCTTGTTGCCAGGAAGGGGCGGAGGCAGAACTAGAATCTGGATCTTTTTTTTTTTTTTCCATAGTCACCTCTTTAATAATTTCATAACAGTTTGTAATTGTTTGGAATCTGGATCTTTTACACCTCCTGCAGTCACAAAATCCTGAATCAAATGTCATCTACTCTGTCACCTAGTGAGAGTGGCTTATAAGTATCAAGTGACCTGTGATCCTCTTTCCTTCTCTGTTCTTTGCACCTTAATACAGAAAAGGTTGTGAGATTTGCATAAATCTGTTTTGAGGAGTTTTTTTGGTGAAGGAAAAGAGAAGTTAACAATTTCTACTTCTGGGTCTCTTAAGRAAGATCTAAAATCAAACACAAACATGGGAAGAAAGGCACTGTCCCTCTGGGTCTGAAGGAGCAAGGAGCTGGAGCTCCTCCAAAGAAAGGGACGGCTCTTTGTGGGGTCACCACTACTTCTGGTCATTTTCTACACTTCAGAGCCAGAGGCAGCTCCTCCTTCCTCCAGCTGGTTATAGCCCAACGAAATGCCTGAGGTTGGTCTGTAGGTTGTAGGGAGCCAGGCGGAAATGGAAACTCAACTGTGGAGTGGGAGAGGGCCCACGGGAGGACAGGTCTCTCCCTGGGCTCTGGGAGGGCCTGGAGTCCATGAGAAATTTGCACAGAAGTCTCCTCTCCCCTCATTCTCATCCTTTGGGTCTTTGAGACCTGGTCTCAGCCACAAATGACAGACCTCTGCCTCCCGCTTCTGGGCAGGAGAAATCTAGACTCTAAATGAATAGACCTGAGGCTATGATGGAGCCAGGGGCTGCAGCTTATTAGCTAGAGGACTTTGAGTCCCTTCACTTTGTGGAGTCTTGGTGTCCTCATTGGATAAATTGGGATAAACAGGGCTGTCACAGTCGTCAAATGAAAAGCATTGCATTAATGAGAGGCATATTGTTGGTTCTTCATTATTAATGACTGAGGAGCAGGGCTGGGGATGTGGCTCAAGCGGTAGCATGCTCGCCTGGCATGCGTGCGGCCTGGGTTCGACCCTCAGCACCAGATACCAACAAAGATGTTGTATCCTCCGAAAAACTAAAAAATAAATATTAAAATTCTCTCTCTCTTTCACTCTATCTCTCTCTCTCTTTTAAAAAAAAATGACTGAGGAGCAGATTAGTTACAGGGGTTAAGACTTTATTCTCCAGGTTCCCGTCGACACTCTAGTTCTTGTTTTCTGTGTGACCTTGCATGAGTCACTTGTCTTCTCTGAGTCTTGGTTGCCTTACCTTTCCAATGGGGTAAATAACATCGCTTAGCTTATAAGATTGTTCTCCAAATTAAATGTGATAATGCCTTCAGTTCTCAGAAGACATAAGTGACTGTTATTGTCATAATTAATGTTAAAAATAAGATCTAGGTAAACTGGAAGAAGGAAATGCCACAGGGAACTATAAAAAGACCTGGAGGCCTGCTGTTCAGTTGGCTGTGTATGTGTGTGTGTTTATGTCACCGTGCATGGGTGGCTATGTGAGCGGGGAGTTAACACACCCAAGAGGACTAGCTTGAGGTCTTTTTTTAGCACTGCCTATGGTGRGCCCCACCTGCCCTCTTTCTCTTCTCTATCCTTAAACTTCCCTTTCTACTCTGTCCCTTTGTTCTTTTTTGTGTGGACAGTCCTCTTTGCTGCCCATATACCCCCTCAGCTCCCCAGCAGCAGAGAACCTGGGCAAAACAGCCAAAGCCTGCATGGTGGTACCACGGGGCGAGTGTCCTCTGCCTAAAACTCTTGCTCCCCTGCCGTTGCATCCAGCCTAGAGTATGGTGAGTGCCTTTGTGACAGGCCAGCACTGGTGCCCTCTGCCCCTCAGCCTTCTGCTGGCCCTGATTACTCCTCTTCCTCTGTGCAGTGTCCACGGGCTCTGTGACACAAGTGTCCTCAGTGAGCACGGACTCAGCCGGCTCGTCGTACTCCATCAGTGGCATCCTGGGCATCACGTCCCCCAGCGCTGACACCAACAAGCGCAAGAGAGATGAAGGTAAGAGGCAGCAGCACAGCCCTGTCGGGGAGGGACGGAGGGGTCTGCTTGGTGTGCTCAGAGAGGGTGGGACCAAAGGTGCCTGCTCAGCACCCCCTTAACTGCAGAAGGCTGTAGTTCCTAGGGCCCTGTCCTTAATGCAGGGACAAGGAGGGGCAGACAGGCACCCTGCTGGAACTGTGGGTTCCTTGCTGATCTCTTCCCATCTTCACGCCTTGGGTGGAGTAAATGGGCCTGATAGAGCCCTGGTGGCCTGAGCTTTGTGGCCTTTAGGAAGACCCTGCATGTGCAGACATGATATACCTGAGGGACCCTGTGTGTGGAGGGTCTGAGCTTAATACCAATGACCCCTGTGTGTGGGAGCCTTGGAGAGAGCAGGGAGCTGGGCAAAGCAGCCACCACTCTGTCTTACAGTGAGAAGGGGACTAGGGGTGGAAGGGGCAGGGGTAGGTCCTCTGAGGGACTGGGCACACTTTTCAGAGGAGAAGGCCTTCAGCCTGGTGAAGGTGGGGTGTGGAGGGAATAAATAACTATGTCGTCTTTGCCCTTGGGCCTGGAAGGAAGGAGTGCAGGGGCCTCACAGGGATTACAAAGATGACAATCTTCCCGGTTGGTTTTTCCTCAAACCCTCAGTGTTCTTGGGTCTCTGGAACCGGCCGTCTCCGTGCTGGACACGGGCCCACCTTAACCCTCATCTCCTTCCACTGGATGGGCTGCCAGCACTGGCTGACATTAATCRGTTTGAAACGACCCCCTGGGAATTTGTAAAACCTTAGTCAGGAAAGAAAAAAAAAAAAAAAAGGCTGTGGTCTAGGGCCTGAGAGCAGCGTGACAGAAATCTTGATTCAATTATTCTGTTCCTCCACACAATTCCCTTTCTCAGCGCCATGTAAGGGATGTATGTTCTCGGGAGCACATGCCTAAGTACTTAAGATCTGTAACTAGAAAATTGAGTCAGCCCAGCGGTGGATTGGCTTGTGGTCTGTGTGCCCCAGGCAGTGTAGAGCCGGGCCTGTGGCCTCTGTCTGCAGCTGTGGGGCATGTGGGGATGATTCATGGCCTGTGGCACCTGCCTCACCTCTTTCTCCTGCTCCAGACACTCCCAAGCAGATGTCAGAAGTCTTTAACTCGGCGGGTTGCTGTGCTGGCTGCTGCGGGAGGCAGTGGGGCTGCCATCTCTGTTGGTTTATGGGGTTGATGGTATCATCTTTTCTTCCACTGTCACCCAGACTCGCAGCAGCTGGGGCCTGGCTGTGTTTGATCATGGTGAAGGTTTGGAGGGTAGGAGACTTCCTTGAAGTTGGGGGTCCAGGCAGAGATTTTAGGAGAAGGAAAAAATTCCAGTTTACTAACAGACAGGTCCTGATTTGGGGAGATTGTTTTACCGAGTTTGAGAATTATGTTGGCTAACGGTCTCTAATCAGGTCTCTGTTTGKTCTCTCAAGCTGCTTAAAATAGTGTAGAGTGGTCAGAAAGTGGGTAGTATTAGTCTCGACTACTCTGTACTGGTCAGATCATTCTCTGAGGACTGTGGCCCATTTGCGACATTGATCTTTAGAGGGGCAATGACAGATGAGCATAGCCTGGGTGAGAGGGATCTGGGTATGGCACCCAAGGAATACCTCAAGGCCCTAGAGATGTTTGGCACAAAAAAGAACAGAACAAGCAGGACTGGATTATTGCCTTGAAACATTTAAAGGGCTGATGTGGAAAGAGAGAGGAAAGAGACTTTGTTTTGTGGCCTCACAGGCCAGTGTGTGGCAGATGCAGAGGCAATTCCAGCTCAGTGTAAGAAAGAACTTTGTACATATGAAAGTGGTCTAGGGATTACAGGGAATAACAGGGAGCTAGTGAGTACTCCGTATGCAAGCAGACTTAGTGGTCCTTGCTGGCTGCTGTTCAAGAATATCAAGAATCAGATTCAAGATTGGATGGTCTTTGCAGTCCTGAAGTTCTGAAATTTATCGTAGAGTCCTGATCCCCAGGAAGATTTTGGAGGAAGGCCAGCCTGTGGTCTATGAGCTAAGAGAGAATAACTTGAAGGTCCTGGAAGCTTAGAGAATTGGGAAAAGTGAGGAACCCAAGCAGTAACCAAAACCTTCCCCTCACTCTTGCTGTGCCTCACTGAGAAGGTAGATGGTTGAGCAGAGATGTGGGCAGAAATGCTCTGCTTCACATCAGGAAAGTGTCTGGGGGGAGTGGATCTCCCCCTGTCCTTTCCCATCTTTCCTTTGTACCTCCCAGGATCCCTGCATTAGTTCCAGGGGAGGATGAAAAGGCAGAAATCCCCCATTTTATTATAAGAGGTAACTAGGGCCCCAGCGAGCTCCCTCACAGTGTCAAAGCCACATAGCTGGTGTGGACTGGGGAGTTGGGTGGAGCCTGGGAGCTGTAGACATCCTCTGGAATTGTCTGGCAAAACGTTGTTCCTTGGCCTGGGCCAGGCAGAGCTTAGGAATGGTGTAAGGGGGAAGAGTTAAAGCAGAAGTGGGTGGCTAGGTGCAGTGGTGCAGCCTGTAATCCTAGCTCCTCAGGAGGCTGAGGCAGAGGATTGCAAGTGTTAGGCCAGCTTGGGCAATTTAGAGACTCTGTCTCAAAAAAAAAAAAAAAAAAATGCTGGGGATGTTGATGGTAGAGCACCCTTGGATTTAATCCCCAGTACCAAAAAAAAAAAAAAAAAAAAAAGACAAAAGGATACCATTGGCAGGTTGGATGCCACCAAGAGTGTAGCAAGGTGAGACCCAGAGGTGGGGAGTTTGAAGAGAGCAGAGAAAGTAAGAGCCAGCCACTGGGGAAACAGGGAAGTAGCCAGGCACCCCAGGTGCTGTCCTAGGTAGGGTGCAGGCCATGGCTTTGTGAGTACTGGCTTCCAGGATGGGTCCATGTTTTCTCAGGAGCCCTCAGCAGCTTGAGAGAAGAGTGTTAGGGGAGACAGAGAGGCAGTAGAGAGCCAGGAGGAAGATAGCAGAGTGCTTCCCCATTTCTCAGACAGAGATGACTGAGGCTTTGCAAGGTGGAGTCACTCAGCCCGTGGTGTATAGTCACCTCCAACCAGATTTGGGTTTTACTCTGAGGTCATATCCTGGGGCTGTGATCCTGCCCAGATCTCAGGGTTGGGGTGGGAGGGAACAGKGTTCAACCACAGAAGGTGAGCTGGCAGTCATGACTGAAAATCCAAATTCTTTCTAATGTGTGTGAGGTGACACCAGAGAGGCAGAGCAAGACAGAGAGGGGCTGATTTTTGATCACAAGGATCTAGAAAGACTCCTCTTAGGAGGTGTCATCAGAGGGCTGGGTAGAGGGAGGAGAGAGTATTCCAATCTGTGCCAAGATGGGGACTCCAGTAAAAGGACCAGTGGGGCAGGACTTGGAAAGGGAGGGAGCGGGCAAGAGAGCTTGGGGCTCAGGTATGACCTCAGTCCCTGAACTTTTAGTCTGGAAGCAGTGGAGAGATTGTTTTGATGGTTTAGAGACTCAAGGAACATGCACTGTGCTGGATGTTTTGGATATCAGGGTAGATATGAAAGTGATTAGCTCAGCATCAACTACTAGAAATAGAGAGCAAGTCATACATGTAATTTAAAAATATCTAGGGACCACATAAAAACAGTTAAAAACAAATGAGTGGAATTAATTTTAATAATATATTTTATCTAGTCCAATGTATCCCAAATATTATCATTTTAACTTGTAATGAGATTAAAAATAATACGACAGGGTTTCCCTCTTATTTTGTGCTAGGTCTTTGAAATAGGGTATGTATTTCACACTTAAAACACATCACGATTTAGATGCTAAACACTTGACAGTGAAAGTTAAATATAGTAAGTCCTATCAAAACACTAAAGTTGTGTTTAGTGGGGAAAATATTTTATATGGCTTCTGTTTTAAAATGGAAAGTAATTAAAATTAAATAATATGAAAGAATTTAGTCCCTCAGTTGTACTGGACACATTTCAAGTGCTCAAATARCTAATGGCTACTGTACTGGACAACACTGAACACATAATAGGTACTCAGTAAATGCTCCTTGGTGGAATGGAGTAGTCACATGCCTTTAGAGGGCTCAGAATTAGCGAGGAGGGTGAATGGGAGCTCCAGCCTCCTCAGTCATGGGGAATCCACAGAGAGCCCTGCTTGAGTGAAGAGTTCTGTAGTGAAAACAAGTCAGAACATCATTAGGTTAGCAGATTGACAAGGGTCAGTTCAGACTAGAAGTTCTAGGTTTTTTTCCCAGGATGCATCCAAGACCAGAGTTGGGGATGTGGCCCAGTATCTGTCTCACACAAATTGTTCGGTGACTGAGGAAACATATTATTAGGTCCCTGTGACCTCTGAAGGCAGAGCGGGATGGTTAGAGGAAACTAAGGGAGGTAGAAGACGGCTGAGAGCCACTTAGAGCTTTTGGACCACAGCCAGGCTGAGCCAAGGATGGGAGTGTTATCGTGAAAAGGTGGTGAGTTCCCTGTCACTGGATGTATGAGCAGGGGCTGACCACATGAGAGGCAAAAGAGTCAAAGAAGGCCTCCTGGCTTGGACGCTGTGACTTTTGGGGCCTGCGACAGCCTGCTTCTGTCAACTGTGCTTGTGTCTGAGTGGTTTTTCCCATTTGTTTCCCTTCTGTCTCTGGCTCTGAGTCTTCTGTGCCTGTGGCTGTGACTCAGCAGGGGCCCATGTCACGCATTTCTGTGCCCACCCCAGTCCCCAGGATAGGCCTGGCTCACAGAGATGCTCAGGAGGCTTGCAGGAAGTGCTGAGGGTCAGCCTGGTGTTCCACCCCGGGGAGGGGGGTGTCCTCATCTCTTGGTTGGTCTGAGCTGAGAGCTTTCACGGAGGCAGTGGGGGCCCTGGCCTCAGGAATCCTGCCTGGCTGGGGCTTAGGCCRGAGGAGGAGGTCCCTCCCTCTCCGGAAGGCCAGAGAAGTGGTAGTGGGGCTGGGCTTGGCAGAGCAGGCAGGCCTGTGAATAGCGGCCATGGGTGAAAGGGCAGCCTCAGACCCT